AATCCATACCGATTGGCGAGGTTCAGAAGCTTCGGATTCCAGCGATGCTGGCCTTCGCCATAGTGGTCACGCTCGATGATGACGCTCTTGGCGTTGTCGAACAAGACCTGCTCGGGCACGCCGCCGAAATACTCGAACGCAAGCTCAAGGCAAGCAACGAGCGTGTCTGCATCTTCGCTTCTGGGTAAGCGTCCGGTCCACACCGCATTGACGATTTGATCAGTCACTGGCGTTGCCAACAATTTCTGGCTTCATATTCCAGGGCAACAGGGCATCAATTTCAGTGATCTTTTGATCATTGATTCGGGCCAGCACATCCCTCAGGTAGGCTTCAGGATTCAGACCATGCATCTTCGCCGTGCCGATCAGACTGTACAGGGCAGCGGCTCGTTTACCGCCTTCATCTGAACCCGCAAACATCCAGTTCTTGCGTCCGAGCGCGATAGGCCGGACAGAACGCTCGGCGGCATTGTTGTCGATTTCCAGTTTGCCGTTGGTCGTGTACCTGACCAACGCGTCCCAGCGAGTGAGGCTGTAATTGATCGCCTTGGCCATCTCGGATTTGCGCGACACCTTGGCCGCTGTAGCGATCATCCACGCCTTGATTTGCGCAAGAACCGGCACGGCATGAGCTTGGCGAGCAGCTTGCCTTTGCTCGGGCGCCTTGCCTCGCACACTGGACTCCACGACATAGAGCTTTGCAATCAGTTCCACGGCCTGTGTGGCCAGGGGCGAGTCGGTAGACTTGATCAGCCCGTAGAACTTGCGCCGGGCGTGCGCCCAGCACGCCACTTCCCGGATGGGCTTGTCGGTGTCTTTGCGATCCTCGTAAATCCGGTCGTAGCCGCCATAGGCATCAGCCTGCATATCGCCGCTGAAGTCCTTCAAGTGCGCCTTTGGATGCTCGCCCTTGCGGTCGGGCGAGTACGCAAACCACACGGCACCTGGTGTCGGGTCATGCCATCCGGTGCCGTCTCGGACATAGGTCCACAGTCGGCCCTCTTTGGTCGTCTTGCGACCGGGCTGCAGCACCGGCACTGGCGTGTCGTCGGTGTGGATCTTGTCGGCCGACATCACGTGTTTGCGCAAGGCTTCGGTCAGCGGGGTCAGCAATGCGGTTGCGCCACCGACC